TGTGTAGTGTAGTGGTTTTTTATTCATTTCTATCAAGACTTCTTGAACTTACGTGTTTTTCTAACATCAAGAATATATTTCTAAGTATTGTTACAGTGAATAAATTGTTTTGTTTTTGTTATTGAACCCTGATTGTAGCAGTATGTTCATTTTAAACTGTTACATTGGCGCCCGAACAGGGACCTTTCAAATAAAGGCTAAATTGTGACTTTGGATGTTTTTGTTTCTTAACTTGGTATCGAATGATTAATTCAGCAATAATTTAAATTAACTAATGTTTGAAAATAACTGTTACTCTGGAAGTTAGTGAGTCTGTGGCAAGCTTGAAGCAGTCTGTATCAGTATTGACAGAACAAGTGGAAATGGTAACACGCATGGTAACCGATCTAATAGCGAGAGAACCTAAATCTGCCTCAACCACAAACGTCGAGAGTCCATTCTACCTACAAACCTGTGGAAAATTCATAGATTTACACCACTGCAGTCAAACCACCACTCCTGCCTGTTGAGAAGTTCGACAGTAAGTAGGATTTTAATGTCTTGGAGTTTAAGTTTAGAAAGACATTTTGATATGTAACAAGTACTTTAGAATAAATGGTGGAAACTGCAGCTTCTTGTTTGAGGGGAGGGCCATTAGAATGGTGAAAGGCTTTGAGATCAGAAATGGCTTTTGAACACTGGAGAGAATTTAAAGAAACATTGATGAATTTGTTTTATTTAAAAACCCAGGATATGCAGTCGCGATTGGGTACACAATTCAAGTAGCTCGAGGAAATTTACAAGTAAAGCCAGTTCTACACAAGAGGATAGATACTTTGTTAACATTTACGAACATCAAGACATGAAGGCTTGTACTGCAGTAACGCTTTTTAACATGAAGGATTATACTTTCGTCAACATTGATTAATATAAAGCTTTATACTTTCAGTAACATCTATTAGTTCTGTAATGTTTCTAACCTTAAAACCTTATCTACATCACTTTGTTAACTTTAATGACTTTTGTATTATACACAGCGAGGTCACAAGTAAATAGACACCCCCTTTTCAGAAAAAATGAAATATTTCAGTCATATTCACATGAATTGATATATTTATAATTTAATTAATATCTAATAGATCTTCCTTTCGCTTCGCGGAGTTCGTTGATCCTTTGGGGCATCGTGAGAATCATCTCATCAATTTGAGATTATGGGATTTTTGCCCACTCTTGCTTCAATACTTGGAGTAGATCGCTCTTCGAAATTGTTTTTATTTTGGTTGTTTCTTGACTTGCCGGTCGAGTATGGCCCAGAGGTTTTTGATGGGGTTCATTTCAGGAGA